AATACTAGTTGTGAGTCCCATGTATTACATGAGCTAAAATAATAACAATAAAAAATTCAATATAAAGGTAAAAATATTTGAGCACTTCGAATTTATAAGAAAATAAAAAAAAAATAATGAATTATTATAAGGAAATATTTTTTATATTTTATATTTAGATAAATAGAAAAAAAATAATGAGCTTTAATTTTGGGAATTTTGAAATTTAAAGGTAAGTTAATTAATGATATTGATATCCATTTATTACAACATTAATTGCAATTATTATATTAAAATATTATAAGAGATTTAATAAAATAGAAAAACTCATAAATGACATGTGGAAAAAAAATAATTCAAAATAACCACAAAATGATATTTCATCTATTAGTGAAGATTTGGAAAATATATAATAATGAAATTATTTTAACAGTTACTTAAACTACTATCACTCAAAGTGGATGAAAGACTTAAAATCATGCGATTAAATCATTTTGTTCACTATAAATGTATATAATGATGACATATACTTAATTCTTAGTTGGATATAGATGTAATTAATACAACACTTAACATAAATAAATCAATATAAAAACATAATTCTAAATATTATTAGCTGGGAAAATGACTTATAGGTAATTTATATTTACTTATATTTGACTCAATTCTAAGTTGAAATCATATTCTTCAATTTTTTAGATCAACCTAAATGTAAGTCATGTTTCACACCAAATCTGCAACCATAAATAAATGATTGCTTTAATATCGCTAATCCTATTTCATGCACCTCATTTGTTCCACTATCCGTCCATTTTATGGTTTGTCTTCTTTGATAATAAATTTTTAAAAAGAGTAATTTGGAAAAAAAAATCTTTTAAAATACATATATAGCTGTTAAAACAACATATAAAAATGGTTGTACAAATTGTAAATAATAGAAACTAATTTAAATTGTCTTGAAAATGTAAAAACAATTTGTAGAAAATAATTGAGACAAAATTATAATAGTAAATAGAGAATTTAAATATCGTCTGATTTTTTCTTCTTACTTATTTTTATATGCATATGAAATGATGACAACTATCACATTAGGCTAATATTAATTATATTTTAATATGTTTGTTGGCATAAATAGAAATAAAAATAAGAGAATATTTAATTTATCTACTAAGTTTTGCAATTTCAAAGCTAAAACTAATTTTGGTCCAAATTATGGTAAAAAAAATGTTTTATCTGCTATAGAAGTCACAAAAGATCAATTTAATCGGGAAAATATTTTTGGTTGATAACCTTAACTTAGTAGTTCAAAACACTAATTGATATTTCTTCGGTTTTTCTAGTTTAAAAAAATACTAATTGAGAGACATATGTATTACTTGAGCATATATATATATATATATATATATATATATATATATATATATATATATATATATATATATATATATATATATATATATATATATATAGATATATATATATATAAAGGTCAAAATATTTGAGTACTTTGAATTTATAAGAAAATAAAAAAAATGAATTATTATAATGGAAATGTTTTTTATCTGTTAAATTAAAATAAATAGAAAAACTAATGATCCTAAATTTTGGGAATTTTGAATTTTAAAGGTAAGTTCATTAATGAAATTGATATTCATTTATAACAACACTTATTGCAATTATTATATTAAAATATTATGTGAAATTTAATAAAATAGAAAAACTCATAAATTGCATGTAGAAAAAAAATAATTCAAAATAATATTTGGCAAATTGAATTGGAGTGGGAAAGTGGCAAAAAGAACTTTCATGTATTAGACAATATTTGGAAAATATACAATAATGAAATTATTTTAACTGCTACTTAAACTACTATCACTCAAATATGATGAAAGGCTAAAAATCTTGCGATTAAATCGATCTGTTCACTATAAATGTATATAATGATGACATACACTTAATTCTTAGTTGGATATAGATGAAATTAATACAACAAATAACATAAATAAATTAATACAAAAACATAATTCAATGTACTATTAGTTGGCAAATATGGCTTGCAGATAATTTATATTTACTTAGATTTGACTCAATTCTTAAGTTGTAATCATGTTCACCAATTTTTTAGTTCAACCTAAATGTAAGTCATGTCACACACCCAATCCGTCGCCATAAATATAGGCTTGCTGTAATATCCCTAGTCCCATTTCTTGCACCTCATTCGTTCATCTATTCGTCCATTTTATGGTATGCCTTTCTTTGTCAATAAAAAAATTAAAGTAATTGAGATAAAATTGCCAAAGTATAATTTTATAAATAACTTGTAAAAATTAATTTTGTAAAAAGATTAATTTGAAAAGAAATAAAAAAAATGTTTTAAAAAACATATACAATTGTAAAAACAACATATAAAAATGGTTGTAAACATTGTAAATTGTACAAACTTTTTAAATTATTTTAAAATTGTAAAAACAATTTGTAAAAATAATTGAGACAAAATTATAATAGTAAGTAGAGAAGTTAAATATCCACTTATCTTTTCTTCTTACTTATATTGATATCCATATGAAATTTAGACAACTATGACATTTGGATAATATTAGTTATATTTTAATATGTTTGTTGTCATAAATAAAAAGAAAAATATGAGAATATTTAATTTCTCTAGTAAGTTTTGCAATTTCAAAGCTAAAATTAATTTGGGTCTAAATTATATTAAAAAAATTGGTTAGTTTGTTATAGAAGTTACAAAACATCAATTTAATCGGGACAATATTTTTGGTTGATAACCTTAACTTAATATTTCAAATCACTAATCGATATTTCTTTAGTTCTTTCGGTTTAAAAAAATACTAGTTGTGAGACCCATGTATTAAATGGGCTAAAAAAAATTAAATATAAACGTCAAAATATTTAAATACTTTGAATTTATAAGAAAATAAAAAAATATATAGAATTATCATAATGGAAATGTTTTTTATATTTTAAATTTAACTAAAATAGAAAAAAAACTAATGAGCTTTAATTTTGGAAATTTTAAAATTTAAAGGTAAGTTCATTAATGAAATTGATATTCATTTATTACAACATTTATTGCAATTATTACATTAAAATATTATGTGAAATTCAATAAAATAAAGAAAACTCATAAATGACATGTGAAAAAAAAATAATTCAAAATAACCATAAAATGACATTTGATAAATTGAATTAGAGTGTGACAAGTGGCAAAAATAGTTTTCATTCATTAGAAAGGATTTGGAAAATATATAATAATGAAATTATTTTAATTGCTACTTAAACTACTATTACTCAAAGTGGATGAAAGGCTTAAAATCGTATAATTAAATCGTTTTGTTCACTATAAATGTATATAATGATGACATACACTTAATTCTTAGTTTTACATAGATGGAATTAATACAACAATTAACATAAATAAATCAATATAAAAACATAATTCAAAGTATTATTAGCTGGCAAAAACGGCTTATTGATAATTTATATTTACTTAGATTTGATTCAATTCTAAGTTGCAATCCTATTGGTTACTTTTTTAAATCAACCCAAATATAAATCATGTCTCACACTCAACCCGCCACCATACATATTGGCTTGTTGTAATATCCCTAATCACATTTCGTGTACCTTGTTTGTTTATCTATCCGTCCATTTTATGGTTTGTCTTTCTTTGACATTAAAAAAAATTATTGTAATTCAGATAAAAATGCCAAAGTATAATTTTATAAATAAATTGCAAAAATTAATTTTGTAAAAAGAGTAATTTGAAAAAAAAAATTAAAAAAATTGTTTTAAAAAAACATAGAAAGTTGTCAAAACAACACATAAAAATGGTTGTAAACATTGTAAATTATAGAAACTTGTTTAAATTGTTTTGAAAATGTAGAAACAATTTGTGAAAATAATCGAGACAAGGTTATAATAGTAAGTAGAGAAATTAAATATCCTCTTATCTTTTCTTCTTACTTTTATTCGTATCCATATGAAATGATGACAAATATCATATTATGATAATATTAATAATATTTAATATATTTTTTTTTTATCATAAATAGAAAGAAAAATATAAATAAAAATATGAGAATATTTAATTTCTCTAGTAAGTTTTGCAATTTCAAAGGTAAAATTAATTTGGGTCCAAATTATGGTAAAATTGTTTTATCTGCTACAAAAGTCACAAAACATCAATTTAATCGGGACAATGTTTTTGGTTAATAATCTTAACTTAGTATTTCAAATCACAAATCAATATTTCTTCACTTCTTTTGTTTTATAAAATACTACTTGTGAGACTCATGTATTACGTGAGTTAATTTAAAAAAAAATTAATAAAAATATCAAAATATTTGAGAACTTTGAATTTATAAGAAAATAAAAAAATGAATTTTTATAATGGAAATATCTTTTTATTTTATAAATTTAAACAAATAACTTAAATAAATAGAAAATAGCTAATGAGCTTTAATTTTGGAAATTTTGAAATCTAAAGGTAATTTCATTAATGAAGTTGATATTCATTTATTATAACATTTATTGCAATTATTAAAATAAAATATTTTGTGGAATTTAATCAAATAAAAAAACTCATAATTGACATGCTGAAAAAAAAATTAAAATAACCACAAAATTACATTTGGCAAATAGAATTACAGTGTGATAAGTGGCAAAAAAAAAACTTTAATTTATTAGAGATGATTTGGAAAATGTATAGTAATGATATTATTTTAACTGTTACTTAAACTACTATCACTCAAAGTGGATGAAAGGCTTAAAATCATGTGATTAATTTGTTTTGTTCATTATAAATGTATATAATGATGACACACACTTAATTATTAGTTGGACACAGATTTAATTAATACAACAATCAACATAAATAAATCAATATAAAAACATAATTCTAAGTATTATTAGCTGGCAAAAATGGGTTATAGATAATATATATTTACTTATATATGACTCAATTCTAAGTTGCAATCCTATTCGTCAATTTTTTAGATCAACCTAAATGTAAGTCATGTCACGCACCCAAGCAGCCACCATAAATATAGGCTTGCTGGTATGCCTTTCTTTATCAAAATGACAATCACTACTTTTGACGTCACAGTTGTTCCAAAAAGATTTCGTGACCTTCGAGTTTTGTTGATAGAATCTGAAAAAAGTTCACTCGATCAGCATGCATACATGCTTTCACATAATTCTTATCAGGGTAAACTCTCTCTCTCTCTCTCTCTCTCTCTTTCTTTCTCTCTCTCTCTCTCTTTCTTTCTCTCTCTCTCTCTCTCTCTCTCTCTCTTTCTCTCTCTCTCTCTCTATCTCTCACACACACACACACATAAACACCCACTAACAGGCATACCTCTAATCTCTTTAGTATTTGTGACAAATTTTGAGTTGAACAATTTATAGTTTGATCAATCAATTTTTTAAAATGAAAGTTTGTTTATAAATTCAATGTAAAAGAGACCATTACCTTATAGATTGGCATTAGGTTTACATTTTACAAGCTTTCACTTTGTTAGAAAAGAGAGTGAAAGCCTTTTTCTGAATAAGATTGTTGCAAATTTTTGTTCTAAATAAAGTTAAAGGACTTCAAGTGGTTCAATATTAATGTTCCTAACCAAAATCAAACTACTAAAAAAGAAATGGAAATATATTGAAACTTGTTAGATCTGAACTAATTGATGAACGTCTAGCAATTTGCAATTAATCTATCATGCATCTTGTTCTTCAAAGAAACAATTAATGGGTTTAGGGTCTTGTTTATAACTATACACATACCAAGGGAAGAGCTACCATATACGTACCAAGATGCGTCCACCCACCAAACTTTTTAATTTATTTAGTATTTATATAGGAAATATCTTGAAAAATAATGATTTTTTATATTATTAGAGAAAATAAAAAACAAATAATAAAAGAAATCGTTGGGAGTTTATAATTAAATGTGCAAAGCAAAATGGTTAATGTTTATTAAGATCCTTTCTTACAACGGATATTAAGATAAATAGATGTGGTTATTTGATGTTATAAAAATGAATTGTAAATGGACATTCAATGGACATAAGAATCATCCATATAACCTATAGAATTTGATAATTATGGAAAATGTATAATACTAGGTTTCAACAAATATAAATCAAGGATTTTAGTTCTTAAGGCCTCAAAATTATATTAGATTTGTTACATCTCCATTATGAATTAATATATATTTGGCTTTAGTTTTTCGATAAATTTAGTTATTTAGATTTTTTTAATGTTGATGGCTATTTAATTTTTTTTTCTTCTTCTTATTGTCATATATGAGTTCGTGTTTTCTAAGCATTTTCAAATTCTATTAAGGTTTGGATATAAGAGTAGAAATATGAATTTGTGGTAATTGTTTCATTCAATACTATTTTTTGAAATCGCTTTTTTTTTCATGTTGTTTAGAACATAGTCTTTTCAAGTTTTATAATACGTCAATTTTTATTTGCAAGTTTACTTTTTTAGAAATTTGAACATACTATTTCATAATGTTCTCTTTTATATATTTTTAATGCATGTTTTTATTTCATTTTCACAACTTAGTAGTTTTTTACAAATTCATTACTAACTTTTTTTAGATAGTCATTTTGATGACTCATTGGGTCCTCAATCTCTCGCATGCTTCACTATTTATGTGGTCGTAGAAATACATTCAACAAATGTTCTAGTTGCTTCATATAGAGAGCTATGTCCGATTTTAGTATATGTAAATCGGATTCCACATAAGCATTGAACTCCAGTTTTAAAAGAGAAAAAGAATCATGTACTTTCCAAGTTGATATATGAAAAATTATCGATCTTAATTAATTTATGAAAAAGAATTCAAATATTTTATATACTAATACCTAAAAACATATAGTTAACCTTTCAATTATCAAAATTTTGGTCTCCACAAAAATATCGCTTGTCTTGTAGCTAATGTAATTAGGCTGTACTATGTATAGTGGTTCACTTTATGATCTAGAAAGCACATACTAAACCTATTTTTTAGGGCCTCACTAGTTCTCTTGCTCCAAATTTATACCTTGTCCACATTGCTCAAAATGACGATTCATAGGTTAGAGCTCATCGCACTTATACCAAAAAGATTTTGTGGTCTTCGAGTGTTTTTGGTTGAACCTGAAAAAGAGTTCTTCCTAGTATCATGGATACATTCTTTCCTATAGCTCTAATCAGTTATCATGGTAGCTAGTTTGAGTTTCTTTCTCCATTCATCTCACTTCGTTGTCTTTCTTTAGTCAATTGATACGTTGATTAATCGATCCAGTCTTAGGGCCTTTTGAATATAAAGACATTATATGTGTCGCTAGCATTTCCGATAGATGATAGATTTACAGGATTTAGATTCGGATAAATAGTTTATTGGAAAAACGTGTGATATGATCCAGTTGCTTACAAGAAATGGTAACAAATCAAAACTGTCATATCTTAGTTTTAATGGATTTTAATCCCAATGTATGTTTTTCAAATCTATTTCGGACGTAAAAATATATTTTTTAAAATTAAAAAGTTTGTTTTATAACCTTTTATTTATGGAAAATATTATTTTACTAGTTTCATATACGGTGATTAATAGTTTTTTTTTCAAGTTTTTTTTACATTATTAAAAAAATCTCATTTTTTATTTGTCTTTCGATTTTGATGAAAGTGAATTAATTATTTTGTTGATTTTGCATATATATGAAATGAAGAAAAAAATATTCATAAATTCTAGAAATAGAAAAAAAAACGGATCATTATGTAATTTTTCACATCCGAAATGCAGAAATGATATTTTTCACAAATCTATGAAAAAAAAAAGCTATCTCTTTGATTAATATAAAAAGCAACCGCTTTTGGGTGTAAAAAAACGTGTTTATACATGGGTTGTGGAAGTAGTCCTCCGAAATAAGAGCATTAAACATATGAATTTTTTCAAAATATTTTAGGGTTAAACAAGCTTAGTTAAGTTAAATGACTTATTAAGAGAATTTTCAATTTCAAAATCTTTTTCAATTCAAAATCCTTAACTCCTAAAAGCTAATGTGGGAAAAGTCCACTTGATAGAGGTGGAAACCTCTGGGATTTCTGGTCCTGGTTTATGTGAATTAACTAGTTTAATGAATTTAACTTTAAATAACTAACCAACCATTAAAAAAATTTGCTACGTACCTTCAATAAGGTTGGTTTGCATAAAAAAACTTAGTGAGAGAGATTTATAACTGTTCTACATGCTCTACATAGGTGTAGATTTTCCTTAGGGTGGACATTTTTGTAAATTATAATATCAAAACCTTCGTCCACTAAAAGTAACTTCTCATAGTAATTAATGAACAAAGAACAATAAAAACTTTACCAAATATTGGCAAAACTAGGGTTTATCCCGATCAATTCAAACGATTCAGTTGACTTGATAATTTCATAATAATATTTCAAATCAAAGGTTATTACTAATATATAACGATAATTAATAATAATAAGTATAACACTAATGATTAGAGATAAGGCACTGAGATTTACGTGGAAAAACCAAATCGGGAAACCCAAGGACGAAGGACACTACAAAGAGATGCACTAGGGATAAATTATTTACCATGCAAGGAAATAGTATAAATACAAGTGGAGAGGTATAAATGTGGAGGAAATGGGAGAATTTTGAACGAGCGATTTTGTAGGGTTTTATCATACTCTCTCTCTCTTAACTTAAATGAGTATAAAAATGATTTTTTTAATCGCCAAGCGCTCAAAGTTGTATCGTCGATTCTCATGATGTTGAGTTCAAGTCACCCAGATCCATGAATGTTTCCCCATAATACCTCCAAGTTTTTCGGTTCCCTTCTCACTAGAATTAGTCAAATTGTTTCAACCATAGTTCAAAAAGTTATCTGTAGATGCCTCTCCAAGCTGTTTTGCCTATAGTTCACAAGAATTTAATGAAATAACAAGTACCACTAGACAAATTTTTTAGGTCAATTTTCAACAAATAAGATTTCTATTGGCATAAAACACAATACCCAGGTTTGGCTGGATTTATTTGAATCAAAATGCTAGGTTAACATAAAAGAATTCGAAAGGCGATGCATTGAAAAATGCCAGGGCTATCCCACTAGTTAGATAGATGACTTCTCAATATTGGAAAAGCATCTGTGAAGGGTTAGAATTTTAGTGGGTCGGAACAACCGGTAGAGAAGTGCTACTATAAAGGTTGGGGCTAATATAAAATAGTGATAAGAAATTATTAAATTATAACCAAAATGTTCATTTCGTAATGTTGGCCTTTCCCCTCTAATGATATGTCTATTAAAGAATATAATTTTATAGAAAACAACACTAGTTCCACTAAGTAACTTTCTAAAACTATTTAGTGTATCATAACTTAACATGCTTGTAATGCCTTTTCAGACTGTGTATGAATACTATCATGTGTTTTTTTTACAGTTACAACCACATCTGAAGTGGCTACAGGATTATTAAAGATACTGAATGGAGAATTGTATGATTGTGTCTTGATAGATGCTGACATAAGTGAAATGGATATGGTGGATTTTCTCCATCAAACTTTTAAGCATCAACCTCATTTATCTATAATTAGTAAGAGTTAAATTTATACTTTGATTAGTTGGAAGTTTGACATACACACATCTTAATACACATATCTTTTAATTCTCACTAACATGTATTTTCTTCAACTCTTTAAAACCTTATGTAGTGATGGCTTCCCATAATACTCACATGCGACTCCTTAAGGAAATTGTAGAAAATGAGGCGGTTTTATATCTCCCAAAACCATGTGGTCATAAGGAGATTTGCAATATTTGGAAACATGTTTGTAGAAAGATAATATCATTTGAAGGATATAACTACTCAATTGAAGAATCACCTGAAGGAAACCAAGAGCCCAACATCTTCAAGAGGGTTGATCAGATAATTAAGCAATCAACAAATCTCAACCCCAAATTTATCAATAACAACTTATCATCAAAAGGTTTCACTCAAGAAGGACTAAACATTAACTCACTGGAGTATAATGACATGTTTAAGCGGACAAATGACCAACTTGTTGAAGATGAAAAATATTATAAAAAGACATTTGATACCAAGAAGCGGATTTCATGGACGAGTGTTCATCACAAAAAGTTTGCTGAGGCAACCAATACACTTGGGAAACAAAGTACAGTATATATATATATATATATATATATATATATATATATATATATATATATATATCCACACATCCTCTTGAGTATTTCATTTAACTAATTTTGAAGTTAATATATAGTATCGTTTTACATTTTTGTTATCTTAGAGCTATTTATTTTACTTGTTATTAATTGTTCTATTTCACATAATTTAATGTTTACAGAAGCTGATCCTTCTGCAATTCTAGAGGTGATGAATGTTTCGGGACTCACACGTAGTCAGATCGCGAGCCACCTAAAGGTAACTTACTTATATGTTCATCTCCATATTTCTACTGCTTTTCCTTCACTATTGCAAGTTTTTTAGTTTCCAACTTCAGGCTCTTATTCTTATTTGGTTATGATGGGAATATTCCATATTTTATACTTTCAGAAATACCAAGAAAATCAAAAGAGTATCAAGAAGCCAACCTTGATACCACAAAAGAAAAAGAAAGTAGAGAGATATGCTTACAACATATGTGGGCAATCGACCCCAACTAATGATTATGAATCCATCCCTCAATCCAGTAACATCCAGCCACCATTGACGCTTAATTCTATAGGAATGTCTTACATGACCATAAACAACATCAAGGCTCGACTGCAAAGAGCACCTCCGTTACCTATACCACAACCCAAAACCACCATTAATAACTCTTATAGTGATCAATCAACAGATCATAGTTTTTGTCGTACTTCTTTGGGTGAAACAAGCAAGAACATTACTTTTGGATTAGTTGAAAGCTGTAACGGTTTTATTGGTCAAAGAAATGAAGTTCAAATGACAAGAGATACTTATGAAAGTACAACAGGGCTACTAAAGGATGGTGAAACTATAGCAATGACCACGATGGATTTTGGTGAAGTTGTGGCTCCGGTAGTTGCAACTAGTTCACTGACACCGCTAAATTATTCAGGAACTTCAATAGAAAAATCGGTCTCTAGAATGGCACCTTCATATTATGGTTTAGGAACTGGGATGCAACCATTAGAGGGTTTTGCACTTGGTGGAGAAAACTATGATCTTAAGATGCACAAGATGTCAAATGTGTTTGGGATGATCAATTCCATTGGTGGTCACACTTTAGCTTCATCAAATCATAATTATCTTATTCACTCTCAAGATTTGCAAGGAAATAATGAGAATTTATCTCCAAAATTTCTACGTACACCAACTGATCATGACGATGTGGGGTATTCCACAAACCTGAACTTTTCTAATTCAAAATTATTTCCATTTGGAGTTGGAAGTGATGGTTATTCTAATCCTCGTTTTCCCAGTGAAGAAAATATCAGGCAAGCACAAACATTGCCACCTTTCAACTCTCTTGGATTGGTGGATGGGATTAAACGTACAACCATGGAAAGTGATATGTTTGCAGATGAAACCCAGTTTTATCTTGATATGACCGTGAATCTTCTTGATGAACTTGATGATGATTTAATAAATGGACCATGGTAGTTTTCATCATCTATCACCTCTTCTTTAGCCTAGTCATATGTTCATCACTTCACATGTCAATGTGATGGAACATATCATTTTAATAACCTTCTAATAATTTTATGTAAAATTAATATGTCCTTTTGAAGTACTGCGACAAAGATAGGATTATTGTCAGTTGTATGTTCTTATAATTATGTAGAAGACTTATGTTGATGTGGGGTTATGTGTTTGATCGAAAATTATGTTGTGATATTTGAATAGAAGGTTTTACATAATCTTAAAACAAGAATTCATGTGATTACAAAAATTATTTCTTCCTTATATAACAAACGTAAAAAAGAAACATTCTATTTTATCAAAACAAATTTACATGAGCATTAAATGCAATTTAACCCATTTATTTGGGTTAAGAGTAGTACACACATATATTCACATACACACCACAAGTTACTTTCCTACTTAAAGAAATTATCAAGGAAAATCTCATTTGAAATTTTTACATAGTAGGGACAAATTTTTGACAGAAAAAAACCCTATTGCGAAATTTGTTTTATTTGGTAACATGAAAATAATTTACCGACCCGACAATTTTATGGGTAATTCTATCATTAAACTACCTACAAATTACCAACGGAATTGATATTGTCTTGAAAAAAGTTTTCGTAGAAAACTTATTTATTTTTAAGTAGCTTATTGTTGTTTTTATTATTATTATTATTATTATTATTATTATTATTATTATTATTATTATTATTATTATTCATAATATTTTTTTATTATTATCTTTTTTTTTTGTATCCTACAATTTTATTAAACACATCCTACCAAGTGATTAAGGATAAGAAAAGAAAACATGTAATGGAAAATACAACGTAAAATAAAAAAGGACAACTCCAACACGTCAAATTGTACTTTCCGAATTTAGCTATATGTTTAACATATCCACAAACCATTGAAATAATATTGGCTGCCATGTTTTTTGTTGTATAAATTAATTATTATGCATCTTGTCCTTTCTCAAATTCCAAATACTCCAAATTGTTTCATATATATAGTCAGCAATATCTTCTTTTTCTTTGAGCAATGACCCCAACTAGCTGCAAAATTAATGTGATCACATATATTTGATCGTCTTTGAATACAACACCATTTGAATATATGTTTTGATACCTCCTGCATGAATGAAAATTTTTGCAAGAAGATTATTGGTATTTTCAATCTCACAAGAGCAAAATAGGCAAACTAGTGAAGAGATATTCACACCTCTACAACTCAATGATAAATAACTAGGTATACGGTCCAAGCATGATTTCCACACAAAAAATAGAAACTTTGATTGGGATAATAGTAATCCATACTATCGGGGGATCAATGGGATGTTTAACTTAGAGTCTATAAAGTTGCTCATTACAGTAACATAAAAACTACCATCAAATGATTGATTGAATTTTATGGTGTCGATTCTATGAGAAGGCACAAAACCGGTGATAACATAACGGAGATTTGATAGTTCGAAAGCTCCACTATTAAATTTAGTTATTATTTCGACTTCCAATGAAACCATTTGAGTTGAATCTCTCGGCAATGAGTGATGACTTATATTTATCCATATTTTACAAGCCTGAGAATTGAGTCGCCAGTATACCCAATTCCAACTAGTTGTCTTGCCTAAAAAGAGTGTTCTCTCCTGAATCAACTAAACAGGAGAACAAATTGTCAAACTCTAAATCAAGACTATCAAGATCGTCTCTTACCTTGACTATATTGCTCCACATGCATGAGAGAGTTTTCTTTTCATACATCCTCATCATTTTGTGATCTAGATTATGTGTTCCTTCAATGGTGTGCCACCACAAATTATCTTTATCTCTATTCAAGTCTCCAGATCCACTTAGTCAAGACAACTCTATTGAGAACACTAACAAAACCAATTTTGAGAACCCCCCCCCCCAACTCTTTCTTTTGAAGCATATAATTTGAGCCATGTAACTACTCAAATGGAGAATCACCTGAAGAAAACCAAGAGTCGAACATCTTCAAGAGGGTTGATCAAATAATTAAGCAATCAACAAATCTTAACCCCAAATTTATCAATAAAAACTTTGATGGGTTTTGAGAAAAAGAACATTCCTATGTGCACATGCAAAACCCTAAATCTTTGGATCTAGGGTTCTCTATTATACATGTAAATTTATCCAAATCTTGTAAACCCTAATCTAGCATATTATAAAATCGAAATCTATATCTAATACAAGTTTAGATGATTACATTTTGATAGCAGCAAGAATATTCAATCTTCAAGAGCTTAGTATTACAAGTGTGTTACCTCTAATGGCTTACAAAAACCAAGGCAAGAAGATGACTGAGAAGAGAGGAGGAGGAGGCACAATTTCGGCTATAGTAACTCTAAGGTTCCACTGGTGGCTGGAATCTGTAGCCTTAGGGGTCCTTAAATAGCTGAGCTGCTAGGGTTTCAGTCAAAACCCTAATTGGATAGATTAGGCCCTAAGCCACTCCAAGAACCTTCTGGAATAAGGCCATTGGACGAAATCATAATGGGCTTCCACTCTAGTTTTTTCCCCCTCATTTCCAAAGGGATCCATAGCCCAAATCCAATTATCTTATAATTGGGAATACTAGTCCCCCTAGTTCAATTAATCTCTTTTAATCATAGAATCAATTTCCTGATTAATTTTTTATTAATATTAACTAACTAATATGATTTCTCTTTTAATATATTATTCATATAATATATTAATAAACCATAATAACCCCTCTCTCTCTCTCTCTTCATAAATCATCCTGTCCAGTTACTTTGGTGAAGGCAACCTAAAAGGACCATGCAGAACCGGTTCAAATACATACCAAATATAGTTATAGATTTAAACACTAATCCAACAGTATCCTACTTGGAAAAGTATAATAACTATAAATGCAAGTACGACTTCAGGATCCGATTAGCAATCATAGCTCTCAAAGATGTTGTTGAACTCTGAGCTTATAAGTAACCTATCCTTTAGATAAGGGATCATATTGTCCTCCGTTCTAGATATCATGTGGACAATTACGTGGAACATAGTCATACTTATTGTCAAGCAGTTTGTTTCTTGATCTCAGATTTGTCTGACATAGAACTTAATTGAACACATCAATTCAGTCATGATCGGGCCCGACACATAAGTCAAACCAAATCATCGAGGGACCTAGATATCACGTTTACCCTCTTAGGATAAAAGGAAAAGATAAACTTCATCTTATATGCATTTACCATTCACTCATAAAATCATACACAATAATGCGTTTTATAACATCAAGTTACTAATGTGTTTCCGCATTATCAATGCACAACCAACTTGCAAACAATAAACCATATATCTAGGTTTCAAGACCATATGATATTATCGTCTTCGATCACTCGTGATAAATTCCATGAAGTGATAGCAGCAAGCGTGGGTTTAATCCAATGCTCAAATCTTATTTCATAAGCACTCGTGAACGTTGCAGCAAACTTTTTCTATGTCTAATACACTTATAGACAATCTACACGCCAATTCATAACAATCTTCTTTCATACCTACTTCTAAAGTATAAGCGACTGTGGACTGTTAGAATAATCTTATTATTCAGGAAGTCAAAACATGCAAAGTGAAACAATAGGTAAATAATTGACATAAGACAGTAACTTTACTCATAAATAATACTCCTTTATTTAATCATCAAATGTTCATTACAATTTATTTATTATACATTTCGAAACTATCTAATCTAAACTAATATCGTCCTTCATCCCAATGCTCCTAGTGTGATGCAAGTGCTTAACCCTACTCAGTCCCTTCGTAAGGGGATCTGTTGGGTCCTCTTCTGACGATACCCTCTTAACCACGAGGAGCCTCTCATCTACCCGATGTCTAATAAAGTGATATTTCCTATCGATATGTCAGGATCTGCCATGATCCCTCAGTTCCTTGGTCAAGGCAACCGCTTCTTCATTATCACAGAAAATCTCCACAGACTCCTTTATGGTTGGCACAACTCCAAGGTCTCCGATGAAGCTCTTCAAACATATCGCATCCTTTGACGTTTCGCTCGCCGCTATGTATTATGATTCACACGTTGAATCAACTACGGTCTCTTGTTTGGAATTCTTCCAAGTCACTGCTCCTCCATTCAGGGTAAAGACCCAGCCCAACTAAGAACGGTAGTTGTCTCAGTCGGTTTTGAAAATTGGCGTCACTATACCCTCACACCCTTAAGTCATCACTCCCACCGAGGACAAGAAACCATTCCTTGATCCTCCGAGGGTACTTAAGAATTTTCTTGACTACGGTTTAATGTGCTCTGCCAGGATTCCGTTGATATCTGCTGACCATACTCAAAGCAAAGGCCACATCAGGCCGACTACAATTCATAGCATACATGATCAAGCCAACTGCGGAAGTGTAATGTACTTGGCTCATCTCTGATATCTCGACTTCAATGTTCGGGCTTTGATTCTTACTCCACTTGGCATTTCATTGGATCGGTAACTCCCCTTTCTAGGAATTCTCCATACTAAAACATTTTAGTACCTTTTCCAAGTAAGTATTCTGACTAAGTCCTATTAGTCTCTTTCTCCTGTTTCTCACTATCCTTATTCCCAGAATATAGGCAGCCTCTCGGAGGCCCTTCATAGCAAAACAGTTACCAAGTCAGGACTTAACTTCTTGCAGGGTCGGGATGTTGTTTCCTATGAGTAGTATGTCATCGACATACAATATGAGGAATATAACTGCACTCCCACTGGCTTTGATATATACACATGATTCATGCTAGCTTCGCAGGAAGCCAAACTCTTTGATTTTCTTGTCGAAACAAAGATTCCATCTTCTAGATGCTTGTTTTCATCCATAAATGGATTTCTCAAGCTTACACACTCTATTAGAATGCTTCACATCGACAAAACCCTCTAGCAGACTCATGTAAACATCCTCAACCACCTTTCCATTAAGGAAAGTGGTTTTGACTTCTATATGCAATATTTCATAATCATGAAACGCAACTATGGCCAGCATCACCATAATAGAATTTATCTTCGCAACTTGTGATAAGGTCTCAACATAGTCAACTCCAGGAGTTTGAGTAGATCCATTCTAAACCAATCGCGCTTTATACGTGTGTACTTACCCATCTATGTCAGTCTTCTTCTTGAAGACCACTTACACCCGACCATCTTACAACCTGGTACATTCCCAACCAAATTCCAAACT